CCCGAAGGCAACGTTACTACTACCACACAGCATTGGATACTATAAAGCACCGTTTACTGTTTTTAATGATCGCTAAACGTTCGCGGCTAGCTAGAAAGTTAAAATTGTACAGTTACAAAAGACTATCTTGGGTTTATCTGTTTCTATCCCACTTAAATTAATTGAATTCAAAAAATGGTAGCCATGGAGACGAATTGCGGCACAGGAGAGGAAGACAAAGTTACAGTTGACCGAGTATTTAAGCTAACGCTGAAGCCTACAAGCAAGGACGAAGGCAGACATAAATATGCGGCAGTTATTGGACATTTAAATAGGAATGCCAAAACCCATCTTGAGAACTGAAAATCCTAGAGGCCAGTGGTGATATCACGGGTTGACACAAAGACAAATCGATAGAGCGCATAACAGCGTAATCACAAGTGAGTGTTGCCAGCTGAAGTCAACAGAAGCAACTCTAGCCGAATTCTATGCTCTGTCACAGCATACGTCCCCTTGAAAGATGACCCAACTTATAATTTGCCAAGGTAAATATACTTAAAATTCCAGTTTTGATAAATTCTGTCCGACCAGCTCTCCAGTTCCGTATGGATTTCGGGGGTTAAAGGACTAAGGTTGACAAAAGCGTAGGTTATTTTGATTTAGAACCATTGTTCAAGCCCATCCCATTGGACGCGGTTCACAGGGTCCTGCCGTAAGTACCTAGAAAAGTAATATGAAAATATGGAGGCCGATACTGACTGCACATTTCATAGGTCAAGTTGAATTACGTTAAGAAACCTATTACACTTTTGGTAGTATAGAGAGTTGTGGACAGATAAATTGAATACATATGGACTCCCGCACTGACAACCTAGTTTCTATAGTCACTAGACAGGACCGCATCCAACCAAACTTATCACTGATATGGGCACCGTACGGCGGATGGTGCTTTCGTAATTTTCAGAGAGACCATAATTCAGCTACTTTCTAGTCTACTCATTCGAGCAAAACAGCAATTGCGTTTCCCTGGGTGTACTCTTTAGGTGGCTGTTCAACTACAGAACAGGGAAAATCATTTCTGCACAGAAAACCAATATCGCATATACTGAAAGCTCTTATAGCATTCTTTAATACTCTCCAGTTATTTTTCCAGCTTTACTTAAAAAAAGATTTGTTCATTTTTAAATGTATCTTCTGAATGCTCTCTTCAGCTGCTGGTGTTTCCTATGTTTTTTTTGCTGATATTATAATACAGCGACACTCTAAAGCGGTCAAGCAATTTGCTGATTGTATCCTTAGTGAGGTCGCTCACCCGCTCCACGCTGAACTAATGGCTGCGAAGTCTTCTCCTACCATGCGCCGAGGCTTCTGTCATATATCTTGCCGTACATCGGCATATCATCAATCTATACTCCCATTCCTAGCACGCTACCTCACGTGTGATAAAATTGAGAAGTTTAAAGCCGATGTGGATATCGTGTAAACCGTTAACTTTGAGTATTCTATTCCCTTTTACCTTACAGTTGTCTTACCTTGTTCCTTGCTCTCCATGAATGGAGCCATTTTTTATTGAACATTTTGGAGATTTATTTTCAAAATAAAGCATTTCGCTCTTTCATAGCAATCTCTGAGTTGCACATACTGGAATAAAGACGCCCATCCAAGGGATTGAGATCAGCTTATGCAATTCGAACGAAAACGCAG